CAAATATACTGGACTTTTATAAGCATGGAATCAATAGTCTCACGGTATGTGAGCTTGATAGACGTTGTGTTCCAAAACGATCTAAATATTTCGTTAGCGCTAACCTATTTTCCAAGTACTATTTTCAGTTTGTAAAGCATTCAATTACCTTTTGAATTATGTGTGTTGTCAGGTAAAACAAACATGCTTATGCTCGCTAGCAGCAACAATTACTGCAAATGTTACTTTTTCGCAATTTTGTGGGAACAGGTAATGGTTAACATAGAGACCACATTGGTTCTAACAGGTGCCAAATTTAAATTGTGGCCAATATGATAGCCACTGCACATTATGAGTTCATTTATTTGTACTTTGGTCGAAGTTTGGGTTCTCTCTCATTTCTAAGTAAGCTGTAATGGATGTGGTTAACATAGAGACCATTAACCTATAAAGGGTTAAAATATTAAAAGTAATCAGCATAAATAGCAGTCCTTTTTGTAAGTTTTTATAAATCTTATACAATAAATCTCCCATAAACATAGACATTCCATTACTCACGGGAGCTAAAAATTAAAGTGAGCTGATTATTGTTAAACAATTTGTTTATTTATGCTTTTTTAGTTTATAATACTTTTGTTAGAATTATTTTGTGTTCTTCAGTTTTTTTAATAATGTTTTTACGACAACAAAATGGTTTAATTTATTATTTAATGGTTTAATTTATTATTTAATGGTTTAATTTGAGATTTATAAGGAAAAATTTTAATAAATAATTGTAAAAATTAACGTATTTCTCAAAAATTAAAATTTAAAAAGTATTTTTTTTAGTAGGTACTGTTAAATAGCAATTTTCAAGTTATTTTCAATAAGGTATCACAAAGAGGATGTTGCCATTAAAAAATTCTTAAAATAATTAAATTATACCACTACTAAAATTTGTTAACGTTAGATATCGTTGAGCGCAATTGTCACTCGTTATTATAGTTATAATAGTTATTTACGTGTCAAGCTTTGTGAATATATCTTTACGGTTGAGCTGGAAGTTTGTGGTGAGCGACGCAAAACCGAATCCCATAATCCAGTGAGCCTAGTAAAGATTAATTGCAAAGCGTGACACTTACAAAATTTTATTTTCACCTTAAGATAACGATTTTTAAATTTAAAATTTCAATGAATGTGTCAAATTCGTCATTTCATTTCATAAATTGCTTCTTTCTTTCATTTCATAAATTGCATAAATTGCTTCTACAAGCCTGTAAAATTTTACATTCTTTTATACAAGCCCGTAAAATATTACATATTCCTATAATATATCGTTTACTTGGATACAAAAACAACAAAATTAACCAATAAAATGTCTAAGGAGGTTTAAGAAGGTGGAATAAATAAATATATAAAAAATAAATAATAAATAAATAAAGTATTGCGAACGGCTAACTATTCTCAGTGGGACATTTGGTGAAGGTAAGGCTAACTTTAAAATTGTTCAGCGGGCGACAGAGAATTCTTTATTTAAAGTGAAGTAACTTGTGGATTAAGGCTCAAATATACAAATTGAAAAATTTATGTTAAATAATTGTGAGAATTAGTTGTGATATGGTTTATGATTATAAAAACATCAATAAAACAATTTAGCACGCTACAGTTCTTTATTAAATAAAAGTAATAAGTGAAATGAAAACAAAAATTCATATTATGTACATTGTATACAGTCGTATTCATAAAAAAGGCTGACACGTATTAAAATAAGAGATAAGTTTTGTCATATTTGCGTAAACCTGGCTATTTTAAATGATTGCTTATTGAAGGTTATAACACGTCATAGGTTGTAGCACTGGGGTAGATTTAAAAACCATTAAAAATAGGTTTTATTATTTATTATTAACTTTTTAAACTATTTTTTTTACTCCCACCTTTAAAACGCCCTTTATCGTACATTTTTCCATGACACTAAGTGACCTTTTAAATACACATTGACAAGTTCTGGCTTTACGGCGCTTTAGTCACAGGCTGAAGTTAACAACAGGTTTTCAGTCACGGGCTGAAGTTAGTTTTAAGTTAGTTGACAGTTGTCAAATGTCATAAAAGTTTATATGAACATTGTACTGACCTTTTAATTTCGCCGGCAGTAAACTATAACTTAAATTCGGGCACGGACTCTTCTGTAAAGTCCTCAAAAAACATTTCCTTTACTTTCACTGTGAAAAACTGTCAATTTTCAAGATACATTTCGATTTATAACCTTTATAATTGTGTTGATAAAATGTAAAAATGTGACATTTGACAGTTTCCCCTGTTGTTTCATAGATGGCGCTCTATACAACTTTTTGATTTAAATCATTTTAAGATAATAATAAGTATTTGTCGTAGAAAAAGAATAGTATGCACCTCGTTTATAAACTTTTCTATACACTCATTAACTTAAGCACTCGCTCGCAAGCTCGCTCGTGCCTAAATTAAATTCGTGTATAAAACTTGATACATAATATACTATTAAAACTCAAATAAACATATAATTATTAGTTTAGCCACTATTTCTTAAAAAATTGTCTGTGTGCGTCGGTACCATTGACTTTTGAGACTGCACTAGTGTTTAAAACCCCACAGACATAAAGTCTGTTATGTCAAAGGAGAAACGTCAAAACTTGGACTATAAGGGTTAAATTATTAATAAGTAGAAATATTTTTAAATTTTTAGGCCACGTAAATACGCAAAAAATTAACTTTTTACTAGGTTATGATGTGTATAATTTAGTCAATCCCAAGTGATAAAAAAGTAGGATGCATGACTAAAATTTAATATTAAAATAATATAATAATTATAATCTAAAACAATATACATTGTTTTTGTTTTTTTATTGGTATAATAATAGAACATGGTATGTATAAATAAAAAAATAATTTTTGTAATTTTATTTAATTAACCTCCGACGCGACGTCAATGCACTGAATTTTTAATAACCTATAATAATTATTATAAAGTGAGTGCGATGCCAATTTTATGCAATATTGGTGACAGTTTTCTATAATCTTAATTCTACGATTTTTTTATTAATACAACAGTACCTAACTCGTAACCATAGTAGTGTTAAATATTGTAGATCTTTGATTTACAAATGGCGATTAAAATAGCAAAACTAAAATAAACGTATGAACTAGAAATGAAACGGATATCTGGTATCCATTTTTTCGGGTAGCCGTATACCAGATACGTATTCGAAAAACCCACTTTTTGTTATTATCACTGTTTAAATCAAAATTTTGCGATTTTTTTTAACCGATGCCATTTTTTAATTGATTTCTTATAAGAGCAACCAAACAATCGAAGTGATCCAACGCGACATTGAATGGAAATGAAATTAGGTAATTTCTCGGGTAATTTACTCTCTAAAAATGAATTAGTCAAAAATGACTAATTTAATAGTTATTAGTGGCTGCTTTTTCACTTGTACCATGGAATACCATGGTTTCTCAAAATTTATTTAACTGACAATTCTTATGTAAAATCGTTCCCTGAATCCGAAAATACCGTCCAAAATTATGAAAGTGGAGCCGTTTTTGAGATAAAGTCAATTCCATATTAAATGGAAAATTGACTATATCTCAAAAACTGTGTTACTTTTTTAACTTTTGACGGTATTTTCGGATTGGGTCAACTTCAGTTTAAATGGGGACATGATACGGCAAGTGATACCTCATTTGAAAGGTCCAATGAGTATCATGAAAAAATAGTCAAATTCTATTTATTCGTTTTTGAGACATTTAAAATAGAAGTTGCAACAGAACACTTCGTTTATTATTCTCTAATTCTCTATTCTCTTCTATTTTAAATGTCTCGAAAACGAATGAATAGAATTTGACTATTTTTTCATGATACTCAGTTGAGCATGAAAGTGCGCTGTTGCAAATATTTATTGAGATATTTTTACAAAAGACTAACACAATTGTAATTCTTGCAATATATTCCTAAATATATTTTTACTTAATTTTATATTTGGTTAAAAATCAAGAACTCCAGACTTTGTGGCCATTTCAAGCATACGGACGGGACAAATCACAAAACTGTTTTTATAAAAATAATTGTAGGTAATTTCTTATTTATTATTTTTGCATCAAAATTGTCAAATATATTCTTCTTTTATTGAGGACGGGACAAGATAAATCTTTTTTTTGTCCCGTCCACACCTTTCAATTAAAATTATCTCTACTTTTATAAAATATTTCTTGCGTTTTTTTATTTAATGCATAGCATAATAAAAGAAGAATATTTTGGACAATTTTGATGCCAAAATATTTAATAACAAATTATCTACAATTATTTTTATAAAAACAGTTTTTAGTATAATATTTCATTTACACATTTGACTAATAAATAACTAAAAATACGGTTTTCTAAAAGATGTAATGAGTTATCTCTAAAAGGCATTTGCGCATATTTATATGCGTTTTTCTTAAACATTTAATTAAGGCACAGCAAAATTTAATACTGATTGTCCAAATCCTGATTTTAGTAATTTAGTAATTTCCACAATCTGGTGTAGTTACATTAGAATGTTCATAACATTATTTCTTTAAAAATATATCTATGACTCCTTTTTAACAAGATGATGTTATAAACATTTTAGGATTACTAAACCAGATTGTAGAAAGTGCTACTATATAGGTATATTAGATATATGTATAGAAAACTCTTCAGTTTCTTTTGTAATATAAAGCCAAATTGTATTGTTTATTATCCATTTGTAAAATAGGTATAGATATATAAATATTCTGTAATAAGTATAGATAGAGGAAAAGTAGGCAAATAATCACCCAATTAAATAACGTTCCATTTAAATGCAATAAAATTTAAACGGACAACTATTTTAATTTCACGTATGATAATTTTATAACATTATAAATAATGAATGGCAGTTCTTAAAGAAATATTATGGTATTAAGATCTAAATATGCAATAAAATGTTAATGTTGCAGACGGCGACCCAGAATGTTGGTAATTTTGTTTTTTTTTCATTTTCCAGGGCATGAGCGAGTACGAACGTATAAAAAGAGCATGTTTAAAACGAGGAGAGTTATGGGAGGATCCAGATTTTCCAGCCACACAATCTTCAGTTTTTTATCACCAAACGCCACCGTTTCAGTTTACATGGAAAAGACCTAAGGTAAAAACTTCCTTTTTTAAACTATACATATAAGATGTAAAATTGGTAATTATTTTTTTGTATTGGTATGGTATGCACAGAGAACAAATTGTTGGATTTGGTTTAATAATTGTATGAATTTCTTCAACAAATTGGTGGTAAAAAGGTGACAGGAACATTTTGTGATAAATTTTAGAAAATAATTGTAGTAAACTTATTATACCTATTAAAAAATTACATAATTTATTTGAAATTTGAACATATTTTAATCTAATCGGCTCATATAATTTGTGTAAGTTAATGAGTATTTTAGAGACTTGTTTAATATAATATTTTGTTGTAAAATAGCACAAATTGTGGCACATAATAACACAACATTGTTTAATAATAATTTCTCCAATTTATTTAAAAAAATTAATAATTTTTGGGATGCGAGGGTGGTAAAAAGGAAAATTAAACTAAATTATTAATTTAAATACCTATGTATTCAGCGACTTACACAAAAAATATAGAAAATAGAATAATACCTAAACTTTATATAAACTGACACTGACAACATAAAATACAAATAACAAAACAAACTACAAACTGAAAAATAATATTCGTATAGCTAATTTTAATAATATTGAGATATAATTCAATATGAAGTGCGATAGATTAAATATGTATTCAGCGACCAACACAAAAATTTTGTAAGGATAGAATTAAGTTAATATAAACTGAAAATAAACATAAATTACAAACTAAATTAAATAGTAAGCTGATCAATAATGTAGCACAGTAGAAATGTAGAAACACTTTTTATCCTCATTTGATCACCAAGTCATAATTATTGATTTATCCCAGTCCCTGAACAATTTTGCAAATACCTACTCTCTAAAAATGACTAATTACTACAGTTATTAGTGGCTGCTTTTTCACTTATACCATGGGATATCATGGTTTCCCTGATATATATATTATAATAGCCTTCTTATGTAAAATTGTCCGCATAATCCTAAAATGTCGTCAAAATTTATAAAAGTAAAACAGTTTTTGAGATATAGTCAATTTTCCATGTAATATGGAATTGACTATATCTCAAAAACTGCTCTACTTTTATAATTTTTGACAGTATTTTCGGATGCAGGGGACAATTTCACATCCATGGTATAACATGGTATAAGTGAAAAAGTCATTTTTGACTAATTCATTTAGAGAGTCATTTTTGACTAATTAATTTTGACTAATTAATGAATTAATTCATTTTTAGAGTAGGTACCTATTCGGAAAAATAATATTCAATAATTACTCACCAGATATGTGGTACTAACCTCACAATGATACATTTCCTAACACTAACTAAAACTGCAAAATGATGATGCAGATTGCAGTTGAGCGCCCGGTCGGTGTCTTATTTCAATCGGGAAATCATTTCATTGGTTTTCTTAAGTGGTGTAATGTTTCCCTCTCGAACAAATTGTCCAATATTGTAAAATTTATATTCTAACTCAAAGTTGTACAATACATATATATATACGAATTATTTAAAAAATTGCACAAAAGAGTAACATTTATTTTGGAAGTATTATTTCCCAAGTTAGAAATTATTTGTTTAGTCTAAAAACAATTTTGTAACAAAAAATGTCGTTTAATCCAGCCTTAATGACCTTTTAATGACAAGAAATATGCATAACTCCTTAATAAATGGACATGCAGGACATTGTACGCTCTTCAAAAATGGTCTTTTAAATGACATCGGAAGTTTAAGTTTGAAATAGTTTAAAAAATTATCTTTTTTTCTTAATTTGACTTTAAGTTGGCTTTCTTCACATAGTTATGATCTAAATTATTTGTTTACAGTCTAAAAACATTATTTGATTTTGTTTAACCCTGACTAAATGATGATACTTTTTTATTTTTTTTTGACATAAGAAACTTCATATGTTGATTAATTTTTTTTGTCCTTTAACCTTGCCTAAATGACAATACGCAGGGTTAAACGAAATTGAAAAATGTTCAAAATAGTTTTTAGACTATAAATAAATACTTTAGATAAACCCAAGTAAAAAAAGCCAACTTGGGAAATAACGGACACCCTATACCCACCCAAATTTAATAATTTTCAATTCTCAAAGAATTAATTTTTTTTAAATTATGATTAAAATAACGAAAAAAAAAATAATTTTTTTTTAAGATTAACAGTTCTTAAAAACATTATAGTAGGTACTACAGATATTATCACTATTAATAATTTTGAATATTAATAATTATTATATTATAATTATTAATTATATATTCAATAATATTTATAATTATAATTATATATATAACTCACTCAGAGCCGGTTTATCAATCTCTGGTTAAGTTCCAGTTAGTCTATCTGACAGTTAAATTCTTTATCGATCGTTGTGAGAACAATGGTATCCATGGAAATTATGTGCTAGATAACTAACTGCAAGTTGCTGCTGGTGGATTTTGGGTATACCAATACCTCAGTTATTAAACATGGGACCCACACCAAATTTATAATAGTTTATAATGACATTAAATAAACAAGTTCGGCGCAAACAGAATTTAAATTGAAGTTTGCAAAAAAAGTTAGTTTTTCCTGTTGCCTCACCCGCCTCCAGGCGATAATGAGATAATTCAAATTAAAGTGGTGCAATTTATTGTCTATTATAACTTATCGACAAATTTAAAATTTTATTTAAAAAATCCAAATATTACAGGTTTTATACCATTTAAAATATTTTTTTATTTTAATAAAATAAATAATAAAAATTTAAAATCGAATAAAATCTGTAATATTTGGATTTTTTAAATAAAATTTTAAATTTGTCGATAAATTATAGTAGACAATAAATTGCATTTTATTTAAAAAATCCAAATATTACAGGTTTTATACCATTTTAATTTTTTTTTTATTGTAATAAAATAAATAATAAAAATTTAAAATCGAATGAAATCTGTAATATTTGGATTTTTTAAATAATATTTAAATTTGTCGATAAATTATAGTAGATAATAAATTGCACCACTTTAATTTGAATTATCTCAAATAGGGGGGCCTGGAGGCGGGTCAGGCAACAGGAAAAACTAACTTTTTTTCGCAAACCTCAATTTAAATTTTGTTTGCGCCGAACTTGTTTATTTAATGTCATTATAAACTATTATAAATTTGGTGTGGGTCCCCTGAGATATTGGTATACTATCGCTAACAAAAAAACTCATACAGCTATATTGTGGCTGTGTGAATAAAACTTTTCCGTCAATGTCAAGCTGACATCGAGCTTTGTCACATCCATTATGACTTTTTTAACATTTTCAACCAAACAATGCAGACGAACTCTGGCAAGCCATTGAAGCCATTTGGAACAAGATAAAGCAAGACGGCGACTTCCATGCTTTGCCGTTTGCGGGCAGTAATTGACAAAAACAGAGGGATGACGAAATATTTTTTTTTCAAACTTCAACCTAACTTTGTATTTAATTTTAGACCTTTCAAATGTGACGTATCATGTTAAAAGCCATAATTACTCCAACGAAATGATAGAAAATCAGGAACACTAGATTTTTAAGCTGTATGAGTTTTTTTTGTTAGCGATAGTACATAAAATCCACGAGCCGCCACAATGTCCAGTTAAAGTTGCAGTCTGCAACTTTAACTGGACATTGATAAACTTTGAGAAATAATACTTAATAGTACCAAAACGAGTAACCAAATCTTGATAACAGTTAACACAATTGTTATCGAAACTGTTTGTAACGAAAATTGCAAGTGCGCAACAACAACCGAAATACGGGATATTGAAACGAAACTGGTAACACTAACTTAGTAACCAAACTGTAACCAAACGTTGAATTTTAAAACACTTTTACAAAATGCACATCAACACAAAATCTTGATAAAAATATACGTGATCCTTCTACTAGCTGTCATGCTGTCAAGTATTGACATTGTCAAGAAAATTCATATCGGGTAAAAATAGGTACATAGGTTACGCGGGTAAGTCGCGCGAGTAAGGCGCGCAGGTAAATCAGGTTAGAAAGCCGCAGGTATTTCGCGCGGATATAACTCGCGAGTAAGTCGCACAGGTAAATCAAGTAGCGCGGGTAAATCGCGCAATTAGGACGCGTGGGAAAATGGTGCGGGTAACTCACGCAATTAGGTATACCTGATCACCATGTGGCTCAGGAAAGAATATATATTTCTTGCTGTAACTGAATAAAACATTGTTTACGATTTTTGGCGTGTTACTAACTTCACGTGCGAGAAATCTCTTTCTTCCACGAGTCGCACAATACTTTCAACATTATAAAGGTATTTTAGTACGCTGCTTCATTTATTCATCAACAGAAAACGTTACTAGGTAGGTGAGGGCCCACTGGGAAACTCCCGGTCGCCCGGTAGGCCAGCACGCGCCTGGTTGTATTTAATTTTGATTAGCAAAATTATCGTTTTACAATACTAAAGATGAAATAAGACAACAATATATATTAACAATATTAACATTTAAGAATTTTTTTTCAGTTATAACAAAAGTATTTGTTGGAAATTTAGAACTTAAATGAAAAGAATTTTGATAACAAATGTTGCTTTATTAATCAATTTCCTAAATAAAAAAATAACACATACCTACATAAATAAACACAAAAATAACATACACAAAATTAAATTTGTTACAAAATAACTATCAGTACTACTAAACTTATTGATGTATTTCGTAACTTTAACCTACTTCATTGTATCCCCTAATTCCAGTTTGAAAACCAGTGATGGTTTCGGTTACTTCGCACACTCATTATACCTATTTAAGGAATCTAAATAACAATAATTTCTGGTAATATATTATAAAAACTCTAGTTGTTACGAATACATTACGAATCGGAATAAAGTAGGCAGAACAATATGTTGTAGACGCCAAATTTAGTTGAACTTGTTTATGCGTATTGTTGTGCCGAAGCTGGATGTATGACGATAAAAATTCAGTGGTAAATGTTTTGATTAGCTGCCTGAAATCAAGTGTACTTTTTCAACG